GAAATAAATATTCCGATAAATCGCACTTTCATTCAAATTTAACATAGATATCACACGTTACAAAAGACAGAGACATTCACACTAAATAATTAATCGAAAGTTCTTCTTTTTATTAACTGTATTCTCTTAAACGTAACCACATTTATTCACTCACTCGATAAAACGAGAATTTACTAAACTCACTCTCTATCATTAATCACTATCAATCACTGCCGAATAATCACCGTTAGCAATTAAAAAGTCCTCGATGAAAGAAATACACGCGGACAGACACGTTATTACACGACGCGACGACGCAATAACGCGACAACGCGACGATATTTATTCGGCAGTAGCAAACAGCTGTGTTATGTTACGGCAGGTTAAGGTACTAACAGCGCTGCCGAACGTAATCATGTGTTTGACCGAAGAACGCGGCCAACATACAATATTAAACATTTAACGCGCGTATAATTTCATTATTATCATACGATATACATACATCATATGATATTCAAAATTAATTAGAATAAATAAATGTTTTTAAAATATTGAATATTTTACTATTATTATTAATATTAAATATTTATTTATTTTAATATCAATAATAATATTTAATTTATTTATAAATAAATATAGTTATTATTAAATATTTATTTAACTATTATCATGGAAAATAAATATAAAAAAATATATTAATTAATTGCAGCGCGTCTTGATTCTTCTCTTGGCTTTTTCTTACGCTTTTTTGAAAACGAAAGAAGATTCCACGTTTAAGAATGTTGGTCGCTCTGAAAAGAGCGAATTATTTTGATCGCCTTAAAAAAGGCGGATTGTTTTCACATTTATTTTACAATAAATGTTCGAAATTACCTCCATCCATCCGAACGCAAGCTCTCATGCGTTTCATTAAATTTCTTTGGACACTTGAGAGTACATCTTCTTCAATAGACCATATGGCATATCTCAATCTTGTTTCCAAATCCTCCATGTCTTCAGGGAGCGTTTTATAAATTATTTCCTTGCAGTATCCCCAAAGGAAAAAGTCCAATGGATTGAGATCCGGGGATCTTGGAGGCCAACGTATCGGACCATATCTACCTATCCAGCGTCCAGGAAATTCGTTATTTAGATAATTTGTCACAATTCTGGCATTGTGAGGGCCAGCACCGTCTTGTTGGAATATAATTTTGTTTCTATCCAATAACGGCACTTCTTCCAAAAAATCTGGTAGATCGTTTTTTAATAGATCAATGTATGCTGCGCTGGTTAGAATGTCCGGGAGAATGATTGGGCCTAGTATTTCAGTCCCCATGATTCCAGCCCAGATGTTGAGCTTCCAACGAATCTGGAAATTCCTGACTCGTGTAACTCTTGGATTTTCATCACTCCACAAGTGCATGTTATGCGAATTAAATATTCCTTCTCGCGTAAATAGCGATTCATCGCTAAATATTATACGAGAAAGGAATCTGGGATCTCTATCTATCCTTCTCAGAAAATTTTCGCAAAATCTTCTTCTTACAGGATAATCTTCTGGTCGTAATTGTTGTACGCGAGTATAGTGAAATGCGTGCAATTTTTCTTCTTGTAATATTCTCTGTACTGTTGAATACGATAAATTGTGCTCTCGAGCAATAGTCCGAATACTTGTTTCAGGTTCTTGCTCGATAGCGCGAATAACCGTTTCAGTATTTCGCAAATTTCTTGCGTTACGATTTCTCCCAACATCATGTTTGTTTGGGAGAACATTTCCCGTTTCGTATAATCTTTGAGCTGCTCCAAGTATAACAGCAGCCGACGGATGTCTCGCTCGATTTGGGTATAATTCGGCGTATCTTATTGCCGCAGCGTTCTGATGCCCATGGCACTCACCGAGTGCCATTAGCATATCGTAATATTCTTCATTAGTGTATCTTGCCATGTTATCTTGACGCTTCTATGATCGAAGGGTTATTGATTGCAGTATCGATCGCCTTATCTTATTTATACGATCCTCGCGGGGGGTCCATGCCCCCTCCGCGCCTCCAGCGACCAATCCGCGTCGCGACTCGTGGAAGAGTTACACGAGTCAGGAATTTCCAGATTCGTTGGAAGCTCAACATCTGGGCTGGAATCATGGGGACTGAAATACTAGGCCCAATCATTCTCCCGGACATTCTAACCAGCGCAGCATACATTGATCTATTAAAAAACGATCTACCAGATTTTTTGGAAGAAGTGCCGTTATTGGATAGAAACAAAATTATATTCCAACAAGACGGTGCTGGCCCTCACAATGCCAGAATTGTGACAAATTATCTAAATAACGAATTTCCTGGACGCTGGATAGGTAGATATGGTCCGATACGTTGGCCTCCAAGATCCCCGGATCTCAATCCACTGGACTTTTTCCTTTGGGGATACTGCAAGGAAATAATTTATAAAACGCTCCCTGAAGACATGGAGGATTTGGAAACAAGATTGAGATATGCCATATGGTCTATTGAAGAAGATGTACTCTCAAGTGTCCAAAGAAATTTAATGAAACGCATGAGAGCTTGCGTTCGGATGGATGGAGGTAATTTCGAACATTTATTGTAAAATAAATGTGAAAACAATCCGCCTTTTTTAAGGCGATCAAAATAATTCGCTCTTTTCAGAGTGACCAACATTCTTAAACGTGGAATCTTCTTTCGTTTTCAAAATAGCGTAAGAAAAAGCCAAGAGAAGAATCAAGACGCGCTGCAATTAATTAATATATTTTTTTATATTTATTTTCCATGATAATAGTTAAATAAATATTTAATAATAACTATATTTATTTATAAATAAATTAAATATTATTATTGATATTAAATAAATAAATATTTAATATTAATAATAATAGTAAAATATTCAATATTTTAAAAACATTTATTTATTCTAATTAACTTTGAATATCATATGATGTATGTATATCGTATGATAATAATGAAATTATACGCGCGTTAAATGTTTAATATTGTATGTTGGCCGCGTTCTTCGGTCAAACACATGATTACGTTCGGCAGCGCTGTTAGTACCTTAACCTGCCGTAACATAACACAGCTGTTTGCTACCGCCGAATAAATATCGTCGCGTTGTCGCGTTATTGCGTCGTCGCGTCGTGTAATAACGTGTCTGTCCGCGTGTATTTCTTTCATCGAGGACTTTTTAATTGCTAACGGTGATTATTCGGCAGTGATTGATAGTGATTAATGATAGAGAGTGAGTTTAGTAAATTCTCGTTTTATCGAGTGAGTGAATAAATGTGGTTACGTTTAAGAGAATACAGTTAATAAAAAGAAGAACTTTCGATTAATTATTTAGTGTGAATGTCTCTGTCTTTTGTAACGTGTGATATCTATGTTAAATTTGAATGAAAGTGCGATCTATCGGAATATTTATTTCTCAAGGAACTACAGCAATAATTAGCAGAAGTCATCGAACAAGGTAACAATAATTATTCTTTGGCGTTGTGTCGAAATAGATCTTGGGAAGTCAGATAGTGTCCCAGAGGAAATTCGTAAAGAGAGGGGTTTTTAGTGGGTAGGGAGTACCGAGTTGGTAATTAGACTTGGTACTCGAGTCCCACATAACTCACCGGACCGAGCGGTGAGTATGCATAAAATGCATTTTCCCCTCTCGTAAAAAAAAAAAAAAAAAAAAAAAAAACCCAACAACGGTTAAGTGAGCGAATGAGAGAAACAGAGAGTGAGAGTGAGAGAGAGAGAAAGAGAGAGAGAGAGAGAGAGAGAATGTATGTATTCGCATGTATGTCCGTGCGTATAGCGACCAGCTGATCGCCCCGCGTGAGCGCCCGCGTCTGACGGTCAGTTGCGCCGCCCTTGCATGCCTCTTGTATCCGACCCGTAATAAGCAAAATGTTTCTCTTAATAATTCAAAAACTATGCTTTGCACGAAATTTTGTCAAAGGAAAAATCGTCTTAGAATTCGATCAAGATTATGTTTTTGCAAAAACATAAGGTTATTTAGAATCACCCTGTATATTGTGACGTTGCCGTCACGACGGACGTCCACCCGCTAAAAAGACTGCGTGACGCGAGCCGAGCGGCCGCGCCGGTCGAGAAATCGAGAGCCCCGCCGGGATTTTCAGAGAGGCGAGCGCGTTCGTTTATAAGCAAAAACCTTGTTACTAATCCTATTTGTCGAAATTATATTGTTCATGAGGCCATAAATCTACAACGAAGATCTACCTGGAAGTCGACAAGAAAAGCGGCCTTGCCGAATCATCACCGATCAAAACAGTGGCCGTGAAAAACAAGGGTCGGCGATAATCGAGCAGCCTCGCACATTTTCGGTCCATCGGCCCAGCATCCCAGGGCCGGCCAGCAATGACGGGCGCCGAAAGCACCCCGCGAAGAAGCTAAATCTCTTCGGCAAAATCAGGAAGAGGCGCTACCCTCCGCTGGAGAGAGACGAAGGCCGCAAAGGACGGCCCGGACAGGAGAATTCCCCAGCACCGGGTGATGAAAAGCGTGCCGGAACGGCGGACCAGCGGAGGCGCGGGATCGCGGGTGCATGATGCGCCCCTGCGCCGCGCTCGAAAATTCGAGCGCGCGAGAACGGGCCTATCACCCCTCTCGATGGGGTGCGGGGCGATTCTTTAAGAATAAATAGAGCGGTTCCGAGAGAATCGACACACTTGTTCTGCGAAAGTTCGGCGACGTTTAAGGAGAGAGAGTATCGCTAACGCTCGGCACGAAAAAAGGACGGAGTTGAGGAAGCAACCGGAGACGAGTGCAACGGTGAGGTCACCCGGCTATCTAGAATTTTGTATCGAAAATTTGTACGTCGGTCACCGGAACGGCTTGCGGGTCGACCCCTCTGGCCGGTCGCGATTAGTGTTTCGTTGAAGTAAATTTCGCGGCAGTGAAAGGAAGTCGAGTGCGACCGTGTTCAAGGGGCGACCGTGGTCCGTCGATCGGTCTCACCCGGTATAATCGTTCGCCTCTCCGTGATCCGTGTGACGCGCGTTAGTGCAGAACTTTTAAGGTCATTCTACAATGGAGGTTTTAGCGCAGTAGCAGTAGGTCGTAGAGGACTTAGCAGTAGTTGTAGCGAAATAAACCAAATCCATTTCCTACGGCGTACGACGTACGTTTTACGACGAACGGGCATGCGCAGTCACAAAAGAATGCTGCGTCCGTGAAGTGTGTGGAGTTTGTGCATATTGTCATTAATGTTAATTATAATTATTTGCGATGTCGAACGAAGAAGGTGAAGCAACTTGTGTTGAATATTATTTTGTTGATGAAAATCCGTCGGACGTTGAGCTGTTGGATCAGCGTGAGTTAATTCAATTAGTAAAAAATAACCCGCCTCTGTTCGCCAAAACTGTAAAAGAATATTGTGGAAAAGGATACAACAAAGATTTAGCGTGGCAGAGAGTGGGATCTAGTCTCTCAAAGCCCCTGTCAGGTAAGCTGGGATAAATTATTTTATTATATCTTAACATATTTTAATATACTTTTCTGACATAATGAGGTTAGGTTAGGTTTCCCTGCCAGTCAGTTGATATTTATTGAATTCCAGGACCAGATGCTTCCAAGTTATTTTATAATATTCGCCAACGTTTTGGCAGAGAGAGGCGAAAAGTATTATCTTCGTTAAAAGGAAAATCAGGCCAAGGAGCGGTGGCACCATATGTACCTTCATAGCCTTTGTATGAAGATTGCATGTTCTTAGCAGATCATATTGTTGGACGCAAGTATGTACTTTTTTCATGTGTATAGTACAGATATCTTTTGACAAAACTGGATAATATCATGTTTTGATACGTATTTCAGAACGTCAAGCAGCTATAGTAGTGCGTTACCAAATACTAAACAAGCTACAACTATAAAGCCTGCAAGTCTCAACTTTGAAACTCGGCCATTAACTTTTCACCAACTTTCATCTATGTTTGCTCGACCCTCTCCTTCACCCTCGCCACCTGTATTCAGGGCAACTCCATCACCACAAAAAACATCGGAGGTGCCATCACCAAATAGTGTGTGGAGCAGCGATAATGAATTGTTTCTTGGAGGTACAGACAATTTTTTCGTAATATGTCAATGTTATAAAATTAACATTAATTGATAAATGTAATTGTTTCTACAGATGCTGATACTGACAGTCAGAGCTCAGCTGGACAATTATCTGCAGCAATTGCAGATACAGCAGAGGTACAGCAAACTTCATCCTCCTCAGGTGTCAGCTCGGCATCTATTCGAAAAATTATAAAAGAAACTGGATCCAAAAGAAAACGCATTGTTCCTCTGCCTGATAATTTTGCAATAAAGAAGAAGAAGGATGAGGACGTCTTGGCACAGGCAATTTTAAGCCAAACAACTGCTCTGTCCTCTATGGCAGCAAAACTCGGTGACAGTTTTTCAAATAGCAATAATCCTAGCAACAGTAATGTGGCTACTTCAAATAATTTTATTAATAGCAATCCAATGATGGGTGCTATTTCCTTTGCCTTACAATCTGTGCCCCTCGATAGGCACCTTGAGTGTATGATGGAGCTGTTACGTATAATAACTGAAAAGTATGTAAAAAAATAAGTAAGCACGGTTATCTTTTGATATTTAAATTAGATTAGAAAAAATCACTATTATTTTAAGTGTTATTAGAATATACATATATTTTATTTCAAAATCCTCTTTATTTTGTAACATAATTTTTTAACATATTGTTACAATTTTTAATAACGTCACATTTTATATTATCAAATAAAGTAAAATTCAATGTGTGAAATAAAATTTTGATGAATATTTATATTATTTTACATATAGGATCTTATATTACATTTAATACATATACATTAATCTTAATATCTATTCTCCAGATTGACCTTGCAATAGTATCCCTATAAGAAAAAAATAATAAATATTTTTGATAAAAAAAAATATATTAAAATAAATAACCTTTACTTCTTTGTTATATAAGTTGATTATTCCGGAAGGTTGATGACATCTCCTCTGAAAGCGCGAATGTATTGCCAAGGCGCCTGTTCCTCTCCAGTCGATGATGTAAAATAATCCCGCAAATAATTTCGCATTCCTTTGGCAGTATCTCCAGCTCGATTAGCTCCAACGCGGCCCAATCTGGCGAAGTGTGAGGAGTAGTATTGTTTCCAGTCCCCATCTGTGATGGTTCCATTCTCTGCTTCAACATCAATAATATTTCTGGAGCAATATTCTCGATCATTCCAATTTTTTTCTTCTTCACCCATCATAATAAAATTATGAAGGCAGGGAAGAGCTCTGAAGAGATTTTCACAATTAGCAGGTGACATGCAGAGTGGTTTTTGTAAGATCTTCCATCGTGCTGTTAAAATTCCAAAGGTGTTCTCTATTACTCGCCGTGCTCGTGACAAACGGTAATTAAAAATTCTATTTTCGTCTGTCAATGTTTTTCTTGAGTACGGTCGCATTATATAATTCGTGAGTGGGAAAGCTTCATCTCCCACAAACATATAAGGGAAGGGTATCTCTTCTCCTGGAAGTGGACTGGGATCAGGCAAAGACACATTTCCAGATGACAAATCGTTCGCAAATTTAGTGTTGGCCCATACCCCACCACCACTTATGGAACCTAAAAAAAGAAAATATGATTAAAACTTTCCATTTAAAAATATTATTCTATAGCTAAAAAAAATATAATGAAGAATAACATTTACCAAATTGCCCAACATCCACCCATGTAAACTTGTACTTTGCATCACACGTTGCCATCATAACCATACTGAAAAATTGTTTATAATTATAATAATTCGAGCCTGAATTCACAGGTGCTTGAATCCTCATATGTCTGCCATCGATGGCTCCTACACAATTGGGAAACTGCCATGTCATAAAACCATCACTAATGGTCTTCCAGTCTTCTTTGCTGGGAGTTTTTAGAACAAGGGGCTGAAGTACATCCCAAATTGCTGTGCAAGTTTCGTGTATGATTTTATATACTGTTGATTCCCAATTCTAAATTCAGCATGTTTCAATCTGGTTGTATCTCCTTGAGCCAAGTATCTGCAAAATTTGTCGCAGATGACATTAAATTAAATACAAATTAAATACAAATTAAAACAAAAATAAACAAGATTAAAAACACTACAGAAAAACTCACAACAATGTAACAGAAACACGAAGGTCTGTTGGTAGTGGTGTCCGAATACTTCGTTTTTTAAGATGAGGATGAAGGAGTTCAACCAAGATATGAAACTGATTAGGCGACATCCGGAATAATCCAAAAAATTCTTCATGATCAGTTTCAACCAATTCCTTGAAAAGATTGAAGTAAAAACCTTGGGCATCTCTCGTCCGATTTACTGGCCGAACCCACCACCGACGACGTTTCAACATTCTTCTCTTTAGTAACAAATATTCCAGCAACATTAAATTATTGCATGCTCCAAGATATAGCAAAAATAATATTGCTTTTCTTCTATTCATCTTTTTTAACAACTTGACAGTTTCATTGTTTCACGATTCGATCATTCTTCATCATCTTCTTCTTCTTCTTAATTCGTATTTCAAAAATATTTTTAATAAAATAAATAATATTTTTAATAGAAGACTTGCGCAAAAACGCACACGTTTGCACTGATCCAAAAACGGATTACTCCGTTTGATACTCGATGGCTTCTGGAACTAACCACTTAATTTAAGCATCTTTCAATCCGTTCTTAATTTTGATTGGTTATCTACTACGACTTACGACTTGTGCAGAAGCCTTATTGTAGATAAGTTAGTCGTAAATAGACTTGCACTTTACGGTCTACTACCCACTGCAAGCCCCATTGTAGAATGACCTTTAACCTCGAGGCTATCGCCGGTCGGAGTGGAGCGACTCCGACCGATCGTAAATGCTGTCGACCGCCACCCCAAGGGAAACGTTCCGCGACGGTTTGAGCGGCGAACCGGTAAGTACCTTGGAGATTGTGACAGCGGACCGGAAGTTACGCGACCAAAACCGGCCTCGATTCTCGACCATCTCTCTCTACGTGCGTTCTCTGTTCTTGCGATTCGCAGTCCGCTGACCGCGGACGTGCGAACAATCGGCTGTCGAGGGCGTACGCTGTCGATATCCGCCGTGCCGTGTATGCATCGGCGGGGACGCCTTAGCGTTGCGATACGCGAATTCTGCGTTCCGATCGATTGGAAATTGCCATTCTTGCAGTAAGATACAGCGTCTCGGCGGTATCTCGGTTACGGTAATTAAATAATATAAAGTGTCAAATGATCACTTCCGTTCTCGATAATTCGGAGATCTCGTACTTCTTTCTGTTTTTCGTACTTGTAATAGCGCGCCTCGTTCGGTTCTCCGAACTCGTCGGCGCTTACGCGCTTCTTTTCGTTCTGAGTAATTGCAGGAGCTCGCGCCTTTCTTTCAGTTCTCAGTAGTTGTAATCTTCGATGCGCTTCTCGCTATTCTCCGTAATAATAGAGTTTCGCGCATTCGAGCCTGTGTATTGTAATTATAAAGCCTGGCGGATTCGGCTCGATTTACCGCTATTATATCGGCCTAGCTTTCTTTTCGATTAGTTATCTCGGGCGAACAGTTGCAGCGAATCACGTCTCATTACTCAAGTTATCTTTGATTGCGTTTTACCTTTCAATTGGTTGTCGTTAATCGAGGTATTGTGAACCTCGTTGCGATCGGATTCGTCATTCGAGCGGACTTGTATGTTTTTTTTTGTTCATTTACTCTCAGCTGTTATATTTTTTTTGTTACCAATAAATCTATTATATTGTCTATTCGAATTCGCGTAATTTATTCGAAGGTTCGTCCCTCTGCGATCACAGATATTCGTTTCTGTCTCTCGCACATCGCATTAATTAATTAATTAACCCGCTCCAAGAACCCCTCCCCTCTACCGTTAGGCGAGCTAATCAGCCCGTGGCGAGAGAGGCTAACACCTTTCGCACTGTGTGAAAAGTTTAGTAGAAAACTGATGCGTGAAAGACCGCATCTGGCGCCCAACCGATCGAGCTCTCGAACGGCCTCCGCTCCGCCGCGGCCCGCGCGAGCACCCTTCATCCCGGTTCCTCTGAGCGCGGAGATCGTATACTCCTCCCGTGTTTGACGGCGTTCTATCCGACCAAAATTAGAACCCAAAAAGGAGAGAAACGTCGCAATATATATACAGGGTCTACCAAAAGTGTGGAAACCCCTAAATATCTCAGAAAATATACGTTTTACAGAAAAGTGTTTCCAACAAAAGTTGTAGGGTTTAAGAAGATCTATATACTGATTCTATCAGTTTGACCTTGGATGGCGTCGTCAAGGTCAGGTCAAGGTCACATTGACTTTTTTAAATGACACCCCCTACATTTGATTGCATATTCTTATAGCTTAATTCAAGAGCTTTCCAAAACACTATAATAATGTTCATTTTTATTAAGTACTTTGCGAGTTATGAGGGTTGAAATAATTTCTTAATTTTACATAAACCATAAAATATCTAGTAAACCATTCATTTTTCGATTATCTTACCTTCATACTTTTATGTACAAAATAATGAAAGGAATCAATTGAAGAAAACATAGTTGTTTTTAAGAAAAAATATGGAATTGTTAATTGCAAATTACATATTTTTTCTTAGAAACAACTATGTGTTTTCTTTACACCAATTGATTCCTCTCATTAATTTGTACATAAAAGTATGAAGGTAAGATAATCGAAAAATGAATGGTTTACTAGATATTTTATGGTTTATGTAAAATTAAGAAATTATTTCAACCCTCATAACTCGAAAAGTACTTAATAAAAATGAACATTATTATAGTGTTTTGGAAAGCTCTTGAATTAAGCTATAAGAAT